GTGAAACATTAAGTGAAACTAGGAGATATTAATTTTCTGCGTAAATGTTGTGTAAAATGCTGAAAACTGTTTAGTTCAATTTGAACATTTGCTGAAAGTTGGAAAAAAAAGTGAAAAATCTGTAGAAAAAACAGAGAAAATGCAAATAAAAAGCTGAAATTTAGCTAAAAATGAAAATAAGATGGATTTAGCCGAGTGGTAAAAGCTGAAATTAGTAGAAAAATTAGAAAAGTACAAAAAAGTTGTAACTTTGCTAAAAAAAATAAATAAACAAGCTAAAAGGGTAGCCTAAAAGCTAAAATAAGCACAAAAAGCAAAAAAGAGCGTGTGTTTGCTGAAGCAGTAAGAAGCTAAAATTATCTCAAAAAGGTAAATTAGCKTAAATCAGCTAAAAACAGTTTAAAATACAAGAAACAGCTTAAATTAGTTTAAAAAAGCCAAACTAAACAAAATTAAGTTGAAATTAGCAGAATAACAGAAAGGATCAGACAGACAGCTGAAGCAGAAAAAAAGCTAAAATTAGCAAAAGGAAAAAAATTAGGCCAAAGAAGTCTGAAATTAAAAACATTTTGAAGGGTTTTAACGTTAAACACAGCTCCTTTTACTTTAAATTTTAAAAAAGTGGCCAAAAAGGCTAAACGGCTGAAGAAGTAAAAGCTGCTGAAATAATAAAAGTCATATTTGATTTAATGTCTTAAATGTTTTAATGAACTGTTGAAAAATTGTAGCATGAGTCACGTGTCAAATACTTCTGGATGACTGAATTTAAACTTTAAGACATTAAAACAGAACTTTTAGACAGTTTAAAGTTTGAGTGTAAACTCTGAGTGTAAACTCTGAGTGTAAACTTTGAGTGTAAACTCTGAGTGTAAACTCTGAGTGTAAACTCTGAAACTTTAATGTTCAGAGACGTTTTTTAAAAAAAGGACATTTGTTGATTTGACAGTTTGTTTCTCGGCTCTTCGGCTGCTGTCTGGGTTTATTTGCTCCCACTCTGCTCGATGCTCAGTGGGTGAAGTGTCCAGTCCTGTAAACCCAGCAGGACCAGCTGCTCCACTGGACCAGAACAGAACCAGTTCTGACTGCAGACAGAAAGACACCAACATCAAGCGGACCTGCAGGGGAAACCGTTCTCTGACCTTCATCCTTCATTCGGACCTGGTTTAACCCTTTGTGTCTGCATCAGGAGAAATGAGAAAAATGTAAGAAGAGTTAAATGATAAAATGTTTTTAAGTGTCTGTGACATGTTTATCCTTCAAATACAAGAAGTCAACGAAAAATCTTTATTTTAAAGAAAATTGACATAATAAACAAGAGTTTACACATTTTGTATCATAACTGGCCTATTTTCTTTGGAATTTGGCTCAAAGTGAAACAGGAAGTGACATCAAAGGGGAACTCTTTAATAAAATAAACTCGCTGGTTTCTGTTTATTAAAACAAATTATTTAAACTTTAACTCTTCTTTTTCTCTTTGATAGTGACTAAAATCAAGAAACATCAGATTCTTCTCTGCAGTCAGTTTTTGTTACATCGCTCTGTTTACATTCAGACATTTGACATCACTTCCTGTTTCTTCACATGTAAATAAATTTACAACTGTTAATCTCATAAACATGAGATTTCTTATGTAACATGTTATCAATGTTCTCTTTCYAAAAATGCATTCATGTTCATTACAAAAATGTGACGTCACAGACACTTTAACTTTTTATTTTCCACTTGGAGCTTTGAAAACAAACATTTGACCTCAGACAGAGAATCATGACGCAGAGAAAARGTTCAATCTTTTATTTAAAGACAGAATTTTACACAAAACTTTCTGTTCTGCTGTTTCAAACAAGCATCTGATCAGACGTGAGTTCTGATAACTGCTGATGTCAGCGTGGACCACCTGGATCCGGACCGACCCACTGACCCAAACAAGTAAAAACATTAAAAGCCGTCAGCTGATCCGGCTCCGCGCGCTCTCTAACAAAATAAATCTACACTCAGTGTGTTTACAGGCGTAAAAAATGTTCATATGTACATGTTAAAGCTGCTCAGGTCCGATCACAGAGCAGAACCCTGGACTGGACACGGTGCTGAGAACGAAAACAGCAACAAACCGGTTTAGTTTGGTTATAATGAAACTAAAACTGTGACATTTTATCTTTAAATAACCACAGTTATCAACTAAACAAACATGAAAACTGAAGAAATATTTAATTTAAATCAAAGCTGCAGAGAAAATCTGTTTCTATTAATCCTCCAAAAACTTTATTAACAGAAATAAAACTTTATTAACTGAAATAAAACTTTATTAATCATGTTTCAAACAGAACAACAAGGAAGTGCTTCAAGTACCACAAACACACTGCAGGTTCTGGAAACTCTCAGCTCAACAGAACCTCCTGATCAGAACCTCCTGATCAGAACCTCCTGATCAGAACCTCCTGATCAGAACCCTCTGACCCAGTCCCCTGTTCAACTGGTTCCTGAAAGAACCGGATCAGGAGCTTCATCTGACAGTAAAGTTTCTGTAAAGACAGAAGAAGATCTGCATCTGATCCTGGTTCTGGACTCGTCTCTGAGCCTGGTTCTGATCCTGGTTCAGGACTCGTCTCTGAGCCTGGTTCTGTTCTGGACTCATCTCTGAGCCTGGTTCTGGACTCGTCTCTGAGCCTGGTTCTGATCCTGGTTCAGGACTCGTCTCTGAGCCTGGTTCTGTTCTGGACTCATCTCTGAGCCTGGTTCTGGACTCGTCTCTGAGCCTGGTTCTGATCC